TTTTTAATACTCTTATCAACATATGAGTGGACAAATATGCTTTATATGTTTGTTTATTATCATTTGAACAATGACAAATATTCTCATGAATATTAAACACAACAACCTCTGAACATTACAAATATTCGCTTCAATTCAACCTGGAACCTCTCTCATACAATAAGTGTGTGTGTGTGTGTGTGTGTGTGTGTGCGTGTGCGTGTGCGTGTGCGTGTGTGTGTGGAGACACTGTGATGGATCGTTGGAGGAGATATGTGCAGCTCAAGGCATATATGCTCCAACGGGAGCTGCCTGGATGCTGCAATCATGTTGCGCGCACTATCCGTGCTGACTTTTCGTACAATGTCCCACTGTCTGGCTACCTGCATAAAGTCAAGTGCTCGGCGAAATGTCATTGAAACAGCTCCTTATATCCGTTAGCGCAGCTAGCTAGCACCAGATGCTAACAACAACAACACGTAAGGTGTGCCTCGCTCGCGCGAGTCGCACCACACATACACACTCCCTCCCGGTCCTCCCGATGGCCAGTCCGGGCCTGCCAGTGAGCGTGGAAGTGTGGTCTGCCACAAGCGGGCGGTAGGAGCGGGGCTGTCAGCATCAGCTTGTCGATGGTATTTTAAACTCGATGCGCTCTGAAACTACGGCGGCCGAGGACAAAAAATACACATGCGTTAATCGCGTTAAAATAATTAGTGGCGTTAATTTATTTTTGCGTTAACGCGTTATTAACGCGTTAACTTGACAGCCCTATGTAAAACATATGCTGAATTTGTCTCTGAAACATGATTTATTAGAAAAATTGTATGTGTTTGTTTGATAGATACGTTTTTTCTTTGCAAAACTAAATGCATTAGTTTGTAGATGGTGTTTTGTATTTGCAAACCACATTGTGTTTGTTAGTGAATCATGAGGCATTTGTAAAACCTGTTTAGTTTGTTTATGGAGTTATGGCAGGAAATTAGCTCCATAGATAAAGCCAGAAATCTAGGTGTAGTCATGGACTCTGACCTGAGTTTCAACAGTCACATTAAAACAGTTACTGAATCAGTCTACTATCACCTAAAGAACATATCTAGGATTAAAAGACTAATGTCACAGCAGGATTTGGAAAAACTTGTCCATGCTTTTATCTTCAGTAGACTGGACTACTGTAATAGTGTCTTTGCAGGTCTCACTAAAAAATCTATTAGAAAGCTGCAGCTAATTCAGAACGCCGCTGCTCGAGTCCTCACTAACACTAAGAAAGTGGATCACATCACTCCTGTTCTGAAGTCCTTACACTGGCTTCCTGTGTGTCAAAGAATATATTTCAAAATACTGCTGCTGGTTTATAAAGCACTGAATGGTTTAGGCCCAAAATACATTTCTGACTTGCTGCTAAATTATGAACCATCCAGATCTCTCAGGTCTTCAGGGACTGGTCAGCTTTCTGTCCCCAGAGTCAGAACTAAACATGGTAAAGCAGCGTTCAGTTATTATGCTCCAAATATCTGGAACAAACTCCCAGAAACCTGCAGGTTCGCTGCAACTCTTACTACTTTTAAATCGAGGTTAAAGACTTTTCTTTTTGCCGCTGCTTTTAATGTTTTAATGTCTGTCTGTTACAAACCCGTCTGTCCCATCTAAGACTGTTACGATTAATTTAGCCGTTTAACAGTCTGTACACGCGCTAGTGCTACTGTGCTGTCACTGGGCTGCGCTCTCTTTCACCGGATAGATCTGGTGCGCCCTGCAAAGCACACCTGTTCGGATCTGTCCGCTGCCATTCTGCCAGCTCTCCTGGGTGCAAATCTCCGCCTGTGGATTGCTGCCAACACGAAGGCCACCCCACACAGGTTAGCCACTACCGGCTAACCTGTCACTCGTCCCCAGCGCCATACGTCTGGTTTCTCCGCCTCGAGAGGAAACCTGCAGCTACAACCAACACGACTAGTCCTCCGCCTCAGCAGTGCAGGTTTGTCGCTTCACTTCAACCATTTGGATCATCAAACCACTGGATTACATTGTTTTTGTTTTTAACTCTCATCATGTGGATTTTTAAACTGCTCATATGGAGCGCTCTGTGTCTCACCAACCCACTCTCTTCAGTCTGCGTACAAATGACACGACTTTACACATTGGAAATGCGTGCAATAGATACGCAGAAGTCTGATTTTGCGTGCATATGATACACTAACTATTCCCATTGAGATCTGAGGCCGAGTTTTGCGTGCATATGACGTTTCATGCCTGGACCACTTATTTTTGTCCGGTCGGCTCTTGGTAGACCAGAAGCTGTGTGGTTCATAAAAACATGTTCTTACTCAATACCAAGCCACGATTATTGTTTTTATTTTAAATCGTATAATGTCGGACTTTTTTTGCCGTCTGTGAGGAAAAGAAATGTGGCTCAGAGCCTCAGAATAATGAAATCTGTATTTTTTTTTATCTTTTTTTCCTTCTAATTTGTTATTCTTTTCTAAATAACACACTGTTATTTACTCAACAATAACACACAATTATCCTTGTTTTTATTTATTCGTTTAATTCTATAATCTTGGGCTTTTTAGCATGCTTTTTAGCCGTAAATAAAGTCACCGGAAACAGACGTAGACGGTAAACTGATTACCCAAGATCCTCAGCTTGAAGCTCGGGATGTTTTAGCCACAATGCATGTTGGGATATGGTGTTAATGCGATATGATATCCGGAAAAAAAATTCAGAGTTTAGGATGGCCGAAGACACTACACTACCCATAATCCCCAGCTATCGTTTGGGACTACAGTCCCGTTGACAAACCCTGTGATTAATCTTCAAGCTCTGGGATTGGATGTTGGAGTGGCAGTGCGCCAAGGTTACGCCGAGCGTCAAACAGCTATTTGAAATGGAACGAAACCACGGCAGACTAACCAAAACTGGACTTGAACGCCCCCCCAGAACTACACATGCTGGCTATTGTGTTTCGCAACATGTTCTATGGCACGTCTCTACTGGGAATTATAGTTTTAAAAGACGTTTTTGTTTTCCCCAAAATTAGAAGTTGACAGTATTAAACTGTGTACACCCCTGGAGGTTTAGGCGATAGGAAACAAATTGGTGTGTACAAATTTAAAACATGTAATTAATAAATGGGTGAAAATCGCTTGTGTACATAATGCGCAGCATTAATATATACCCACATGACAGCTCATTGTTACTTTGTAATTCTACTCCACTACAATTCAGAGGTTAACCTGGTGAAATATAAACAACCCTTAAATCAGACTTTAGTTACACCTGAGTAAAATTCAGGGAAGGTGATTGTCAAGTGCCAACAATCAGGAGAGATATTTGATAGTTGGTGCTTGAGAAGACTAAACATTTATCTGCAGATCCCTATAAAGTATATTCATTACTCGTTATTCTCTACTAATAGTTAATTAAAGACTTTATATAATGGCTATTTTGCACATCCCTTTCAAGATTTCAAGATTTTCTAAGGTGTATTGACATATCATATACACAACTACGGTGTAGTTATGCAATAAATGAAAAATTTGGGTCACAGGTTCCTCAACAGTGCATTACAAGACATCTATCAATATGTGTGTATACCTCCACCATTAAACTGTCAAATTCTGCACATTTCTTATAATACATAAGAGTATAATTAATGTGTATAATATCAGTTAAAATAAGTGCTTCAACATAGTTAACATTGCAGGAAAGCAATGTATTAGACGTTAAGTACTTTGTCAGGCTTAATATTTATCTGTAAATACCCCCAAAGCTTTTTTCTTATTTAAAAGAAGACCTTAACCTAAAGTATTGTTTAATGTCTTAATAAAGGTTAATTAGTTTGTCTGTTTTGCACATCCTCATATTAATATCTTTGTACATCCGGTACTAAACTGTTTTATTGTAGAGATCACTTACAGTATCTTCTTGATTTTTTATATTCTATATTTCTATCATTGACCTTCTACTTTCCTCCTATGAAAGTATGTACTCTTAATATTTTTTTCATCAAATAACATTATTCAACAAAAATAACATTATTCAACAAAAATAATTCAATAACGTGCTTTAACCACTAGGCGGTGCACACAAGGTACACACAGCATACTAATAATAACTTTGTATTATTAGTGTAGGACACTTATGTATGTATAACATCTGAAGATGTGTAGTTTTATTCATGTTTTTACATAATTTTACAGGATATTGCTATTCTATTTCTCATGTTTTACTTCTGCACATTAATATCTGATTTGTAAAACATCACAGACAGAAAGGTATATCCGTCATTTAAAGGTAGGGTAGGTACGTTTGAGAAACCGGCTCGAGATACACTTTTTGTTATATTCCATGGAATGCTCTTAACATCCCGATGGCAATGAATATCTTAAGTGCTTTGACAAAAGCTGTGGAAGCCGTAATACTGTAAAAAGTACGACCAATTATTTTAGCCGGCCCGGCTAAAATAACTGGATGGCCTACCTGCCTGTCAGCCTTCCATCTGTGCACAAACTTATCTCGTGTCCTCATTGGTCATGTGTGCGTTCGTGTGTGTTGGAGGAGGGGCTCTGTAAGGAAGTGGCAGATTTTCTCCGGTTGTGTATTTTCAAATTCTAGCGATCTCGAGCCGGTTTCTCAAACTTACCTACCCTACCTTTAATGGTAAGCTATTGAAATTTTGATTCCATACATGTGTCTCCCATCACCCAAATCCCCTGACTATTCTCTCAACTCAGTATTTACATTCTTATATTCAAAGAAAATCAGTAATATCTTTAAAAACTACAAGTCCTTTTCTATCATCGTCTGTTTCCGGTATTGTTCCTGTAATGAGAGTTCACATTTATGCTACATTGAAGGGTGGAATTGACTACACATCTTCAGAAACATAATTTGCTTCAGATATAACTCATAGCAATATTGTAACCATTAAGAAAAGCCAACTGCATTAAAAACCCAGTTAACAAACACTGGGTAAAGTATTTTCCTTCAGTAATTAAGATGCAATTCGAATGTGGACACACCTGGGGTCGCTGTTCTGTCTGTTACGCTGAGCCATGCATTGTCTGGAACATAAAAGGGACGAAGAAGACAAAGTGAAGTGAGTACTTCCGGTTCAACATGAAAACATTCCCAGTTAAACATGCAAAAACAAATCGCTAAATAAAAAGATAAAACACTGGCATGTAATTTACGTTAGAATAAATAGAATGGTTTTGAATAATAGATGAGAGTAAAATCTACGTCACTTTACGGCCCCGCCCATTTTTGGGGAAACCAACGCTGTAATTTGAATGGCGATCAAGCCTGAAGCCACAGAGCTCTTCTGTTACTGTCCTTTCTTACAGAAACACGTAACTCTGGATTGGTTTTAATGTTTGAGGTGCAATAAACGACACAGCAGCTTTTTGGCATGATAAAACTATTATTTTCTGCCTCGCTCATGAGAGTAACAGCTGGCGAAATTACAGCCTCGCCTACTGATTTTAATTTAACCATATATCGAGCCCGATTCTCGATTTCAAATGTGTGCTCTAAAATGATATTTATAAATGACTATTATCATTATTATAAGCAAGACAATAAATGGCAAAGATATGTAGAAAATAAACGTATTTAAGATACGTTCATAACAAACGTAACGTGGGAGAAAATATGTTTCTAGAAGATATGTAGAAAATAAACGTATTTGAGATACTGAAGAGAGTGGGTTAACGTGGCGTATCAAATGCACGCAAAACTCGGCTCAATGGGAATGGTTAGCGTATCATATGCACGCAAAATCGGACTTCTGCGTATCTATTGCACGCATTTCCAATGTGTAAAGTCGTGTCATTTGTACGCAGACTGAAGAGAGTGGGTTGATCTCACGGTAACGAGCACGTCTCTACCGCTGCGTTACTCTGCAAAGGAGCTGCACGTAGCAGTTCCGGTCTTACTCCAGGACTAGAGATGTCCCGATCCGATCACGTGATCGGGGATCGGAGCCGATCACGTGATTTTCAATAGATCGGAATCGGGAGAAAAAAATCGGGGATCGGAATTTTTTATTTCAATTTTTTTTTTTTTTAATAAAATATTTTTCTTATTTTATTTAATGTTACAAAACAAAAATGACCATGTTCACGTCTTAAAGTCATCCTGAGGCCTTAGTTTTGGTTTAAAATTACACAACATCATGTATGTGTTGCTTCTTTTGGGCTTGTTTTCATAGACCTGGTTGCTTATTTCTCTCAAATCTGGCAACAGAGGGGGCAGGGCGCAGTGTCTAATAGTAGCAGTAAGCTAACGAGAGGCTACGTTCAGCTGGTGACTCGGGACAGAGAAAATGTCAGGAGTTTGGAAGTATTATAAAATTGAAAGCGAAGGCAGTGTAACAGTCAGATGCAATGTTTGCAAGGCGGAGGTTCCGCGTGGTGGAAAGAACAGAGCTACATTCAACACGACCAATCTAATACGCCACCTGAGAAACAAACACCAACAACAACACAACACAGTAGTACACAGCGGCCATTCAGGTAACGGCACTGAAACAACCAACACTTTCAGAGACTTTTAAAAGGAAAGAGAAACTGCCCCAGAACAGTGAAAAGGCCAAAAAAATAACAGCCAAGATAGCTGAATTCATCGCGTTGGATGACCAGCTGTTATCTGTGGTGGAGAACGTGGGGTTTAAGGGACAACTTGAATGCTTTTCTCCTTTTTTTTCTCTTAATGCATTGCATAAAGATCGGATCGGGAAAAATCGGTATCGGCAGATTGTCAAAATCAAATGATCGGAATCGGATCGGGAGCAAAAAAAGGTGATCGGGACATCCCTATCCAGGACCCCTCCAGCTCTGCTTGCCCAACACTCTAGTATCCTCAAACGACCAAGATACATTCACCGTGGATCTGGACAGAACTTTGAGTACACAAAACACGTGATGTTAATCACAGCGTGTTATCCCCCCTGTCTAAAGCATCCACATACGCACAACTTACCTGTCTGAAACTATGTCTGTTTAACATAAGATCCCTCACCAATAAGGCCCAGCTGATTTCTGACTTCTTTATGGACAAAAAGCTTGATTTTTTATGCCTCACTGAGACCCGGCAACAGTGATGACTTCTCCCAGCTTAATGCAGCTGTCCCTCCGGGTTATGCTTTTATTAGTAAACCCTGTGCCACTGGGAGGTGGGGGGGGGGGCTTGCTGTGTTGCACCGTGAACACATTAAAGTCATTGCTGTCACTGTCCCCCATCACTCCTCTTTTGAATGCTTTGCTGTAAAACTCACTGGCCCCAAACCCATCATCATTATTTCCATCTACAGACCACCGAAGCCCTCTGCGGTTTTTCTCACTGAATTGTCATCACTACTAACATTTTTATGTGCAATGTCCCCTACTGTTATCCTCTTAGGCGACTTTAACATCCACATTGACGACCCATCCAATGTTTTTGCAAATTATTTCATCTCACTCCTGGACTGCCTCGATATCACATAACATGTCAACATCCCAACACATAACAAAGGTCACATACTGGACTTACTCTCCTGCACACTAACCTTGCTGTCATTCAATTCCCCATTTCTGACCATAAAGCTGTAATTTTTGATATCCATGCCCCCCTTTCCAAAGCCAAAGAACAACGGTCCATCACCTTCAGAAACATTAAACACATTAACCCCACAGATCTCACCACTCTGATTAATTCCTACCCCAATCCTCCAACATCTGCCCAACCTGCTGACCTGGTGAATCACTATAATAACTGTCTCTCCTCTTCCCTCACTGCCCTGGCTCCCCTGAAAACGTGTCATTTACCCACTCCGCCCCCTGGTTCACCTCTGAGCTACGTCAGCTCAAAACAACTGGCCGCCGACTGGAGCGGCTGTGCAAAAGCACCGGACTCTCAGTTCACACACAAATGTACTCGGATCACCTTCACCTCTACAAGAACGCGCTTTCCAATGCCAAATCCTCTTATTACTCCAACCTCATCAGGACTGGTAACAACAGAGTTCTTTTCTCCACAGTCAGTCACCTACTTCAGCCTCCTCAAACCCTCCCTCCAGATATCTCCATTGACCAATGTACTGACTTTCTGAAATTCTTTCACTCCAAAATTAACACCATTTACCTACAGCTGGCCTCAGCATGCAAGTGATCCACCCTGGATGGTTACCACTGGTCCACCACTCCCTCTCCATCTTCACCCCAGCATCGGAATACACCATCTCAGAGCTCATCCTTAAAGCCAAAACCACCACCTGTCAGCTTGATCCTCTTCCCACCACCCTGCCTACCAGCCATATCACCCATGATCACTGACATAATTAACTCCTCCCTCACCTCTGGAATTGAACCCACCACCCTCAAACTGGCTGCAATCACCCCCATCCTCAAAAAACCCGGTACTGACCCAGCCGATCTAAACCACTACAGGCCCATCTCCAACCTACCCTTAATTTCCAAGACCCTTGAGAGGGTGGTTGCCGCACAGCTTCAGTCCCATCTTGACACAAACAACCTCCATGAACCCTTTCAATCTGGTTTCCGCCAAAAACACAGTACTGAAACAGCCCTGGTTAAAATCACCAACGACCTCCTCCTTGCAGCTGACTCCGGACTTCTCACCATCCTCATCCTCTTTGACCTCAGCGCTGCATTCGATACCATCTCTCACCCACTACTCCTGGACCACCTGGCTGGCATCAGTACTGGGTCCACTCCTATTCATCATATATCTCCTCCCCCTGGGCACAATCCTCCGTCACCATGAGGTTAATTTTCACTGCTACGCCGACGACACACAGGTCTACATTTCCTCCAAACTCACCACTGCCCTGTCCCCCACCTTCCTCACCACCTGCCTTGAGGACATCAGGAGCTGGATGAGCAGGAATTTCCTGAAGCTTAACAGTAGCAAAACTGAGGCCCTGCTCATCGGCTCCAAATCCACCCTCACCAAGTCACAAAACACCCCAGCACCAAACATCATCATCGACGGCTTCCCCATACCATTCGCTGCCCAAGTGAAAAGCCTCTGTGTCATTCTGGACGGCTCCCTCTCCGGCACCACACATTAAAAACATCACCCGCACTGCCTTCTACCATCTTTGGAACATCTCCAGACTCCGCTCATCTCTGTCCCAACCCAGCACTGAAATCCTGGTCCACTCATTCGTCACATCCCGGATTGATTACTGCAATGCACTTCTGACTGGCCTTCCGATCAAACTCCTCAATAGACTGCAAATAATCCAGAACTCTGCTGCTCGGATCATCACCCGCACCAACTCATCCGACCACATCACCCCCATTCTCACTCAGCTACACTGGCTTCCTGTACGCTACCGTATTGACTACAAAAATCTTCTACTCACTTATAAAGCTCTCCATAACCTTGCCCCCATCTACATCACTGACCTCCTTCAGGAGTACACCCCCTCCCGCACCCTCCGCTCTACGTCCGTAGGACTTCTCACCGTCCCAAGCTCTCGCCTCAGCACCATGGGTGCTCGAGCTTTCAGCTGCTCGGCTCCCAGACTCTGGAACTCCCTGCCACTACACATCCGACAGTCTGATTCCATAACAACATTCAAAACCCAACTCAAAACCCACCTGTTCAAACTGGCATTTTCTTTATAAACTGTACCCTGTGTCCTTTTGTGTCCTTCTGTAGTCCATTTCCTGTTGTTTGTCTTGTTTTACCCCGGCTGATATTTCACTAAATCCACTGTTTTAATTGTTCCCTATATTGCCCCTATGCCCTGTAAGGTGTCCTTGGGTGCTATGAAAGGCGCCCCCCAAATAAAATGTATTATTATTATTATTAGATGCTGATTTGAAACCGTTGGATGGCACTTCCTGTTTTTGCCGGGGGAAAGCTCGTCCCAAAGCTTGCTGCTGTATACACCCCCCACCTGAAAGAAGGGATTCTTGTTCAGTTGTGAGTGTGACTACAGACGGAGTGGGAGGGTGTAGGGGTCTGTTTGGAATTGGGCCTGAGTGAGTGGCTTTGCTAGTAGCACACAGCAGCAGACCCAGACCAACAGGCGAAACAGTGAACCTAACAG